TTCTACGCACAGACACGTCGCTGCCGCCGTTCTACATTCTCGTGTACGTCGACGACTTGGTCTTTGCCACTGCTGACACTGAGGCACTCGCTCGTGTTAAGTCGGAGCTGCAGAAGAGACACACCTGCACTGACCTGGGTGAACTGCGTAGCTACCTTGGCTTGCAGATCACCCAGGACAGAGCTCGCCGCACCATCACCCTGACTCAGTCACACATGGTGCAGCAGGTCCTTCAGCGCTTCGGCTTCCAGTTCTCCTCACCTCAGGCCACACCTCTGGCTACCAGCCACTCGCTCTCAGCTCCACCTTCGGACGAGTCCGTAGAGCCGAGTGGCCCGTACCCAGAGCTTGTAGGCTGCCTCATGTACCTGATGACTTGCACGCGACCTGACCTCGCGTACCCTCTTAGCATCCTTGCTCGTTACGTTGCGCCTGGGAGACACAGGCGAGAGCACTGGGAGGCTGCTAAGAGGGTGCTGCGTTACTTGTGCAGTACATCAGGCATGGGGCTGGTGCTTGGAGGACGCGACAGAGTTGTCCTCACTGGTCACTCGGACGCTTCTTGGGTGGACGACCTGGCTACGCAGCGGTCGTCACAGGGTTACACCTTCAGCCTTGGCTCTGGTTCTGTCTCGTGGCGGTCCACCCGCTCTTCCTCTGTTCTCGGCTCTAGTTGTGAGGCTGAGATCTACGCCACAGCCATGGCTGCACAGGAGTTACGCTGGCTCACCTACCTGCTGACTGACTTGGGAGAGCGGCCTAGTTCTCCTCCAGTTCTGTACGGTGACAACAAGGCGGCTCTTGCCTTGTGTCAGGAGCACAGACTGGAGCACAGGACGAAGCACATTGCTCTTCGCTACTTTCTTGCTCGAGAGCTTCAGCAGCGCGGTCAGCTTCGGCTTGTGTACGTGGACTCGAAGGCCAACACTGCTGATATCTTCACCAAGGCGCTCCCGCCTAGTGATCATCAGCGGCACTGTACTTCTTTAGGCCTTGTGTCCACGTTTCCTCACTTGCTCACTGCTTGACATTCTTTGTACTGTACTTTATATATATCTTGTTGCTTGCTTGCTAGGTTTTGATCACTGTGTTGCTTGTCTTGTACTATATCTAGCACTGCATGTGAACTGGCCTTGTGGCCTTTGCTTGTGCTCGGAGTGTGGTGACGTTGTGATCCACCCTGGGCTTGCGTTGCTTTGCTGGACTGGTCTTGTGACCCTTTGTTCTCCCCCACTTTGCCTATGGGGGTGTGTTAAATTGTAATGTGTTATATGTTGGTAGGCTGTAGTGGGGTAGCCAATATGGGGTACAACCCCAACTAGGGTTTCATATTTGTACCCAAACTTCTGCTAGTTCATTCATTCTTGCCTAGTTATTCTGAGACTCATGCCTTGCTGCAGTGAGTTCACGCCTTGTTACAGCAGCCCGCTTGCTCCTGTGCCAGTGCCTTGCTGCAACTCTCTGGCACCTTGTAGCATGGCGATGCCCAGCTCGTTGCACCAAGGCACCTTGCTCGCTAGAGCCTTGCTGCACACCAGCATGGTGTGTGTGACCCCAGGGGATCTATGCTTCAAATCACGCTTGTGAGTCATCAAATGCAGTGTTCTTTTGTACTTATTTCTTTCAAGTTTCATTTCACAATCAAGTGCGTGCTCGTCATTGAATAGTTCACTCCGTTTTCCGACTACAATTCGTTTTCTACTTGACCTGTTTGTTTTGCAAGGTGTGCAAGACGCGTTGTGGGGAGCATGGAGGGATCGAGAGAGGGGACAATGTGGAAAAGGGTGGGAGGAGATTTCGATGGCGGAGGAGAGGAAGGAAGGCGGAAAGGGGGGGGGGGGGGACAAGGTAGCAGAGATTGATACATAATTAACTTATTGCAACTCTTTGTTATGCTTGTCTGCTCTCAATCTATTTGTGTATGTATGCGTGTGCGGTGCGGGTGTGTGTTTTGTGCGGGTGTGTGTTCATGTCTTGTCATTGTGTTTGTTTCACTGTGGGGTTGCACTTCGATGCATTCGTGTGTTCGGTTACGTGGGTTGTACATTTTTTACGTGCATTTGCATTCGTGTTTGTGGGATGTGTGTTTCAAAGTGTGGTGTTAGTATGTGTTATGTATGCAATTAGAGGTTGTTAATCGTCTTTGGGGCAGCGTGTTTTCGCTGTTTCAACGACCCCATCAACCTCTGTTGCTGCATGATGCATTTTAACATTCATTTTGAAGCACTCACTCCACCTCATACCTTGTTGTTCATTTGTACAATTGCATTCGTTCATGTCGATGCCATAACATTATGCTCGGCCGCATGATCCGCCGTATTTATCGACGAGGTTGTGACGGTCGAGCAAGTTCATGGTTTCAACATGATACGTACGTGCTTACGTGTTTTGTGGATCTCATTCAAGATTGTTTTTTATCCACTATTTGAGGCATCCGTTTGAACACAGTTTCAAAACATTCAAACGAGTGCTCCAAAACGTGCGTAAAAAACACTCTTAGAATGATATCCCCAAAATGTGAAACCAAATATAAAGGGTTGCTACGCAACCCAAAAATCCTTACAACTATAACAACAATACAAAATGCCTCAGTCCAACGCACTGAACCGTATTGTGGTTGAACCTCACCACGGAGATTCGCGGTGCATGCCTCACCCAACCCTAACCAGGCGCGGGATTCCTGCCTGCTGAGCCTTTTCGACGTTCCTTCCAAACCAAGTTTTTCGCAGACACGCTCCGCCGCGGTTCCCGCTCTCCAATGCAGCACGGTTTTCGCCACCCCACATGCAGGTCAACCCCACACCTGTGGGTGACTGGCACAAACCCTCTCTGCCAGGGTCATTTCGTTGTGTACTTGTCAGCACGAGCGAAAAGATAAAAGGGTTGCCAGTCTAGTTGGAAGCACGAGCTTCTAACGATTCACAACCTTGGTTTTCTCCAGAGATTTTGACTTTCGTTGATTAGTGAGCTTTCGTTCTGAGTGGTCTAGGCCAGCAGTCATTTCATCTGCGAGTTAAGTCAACATGACCCGCGTTGTTATGCTTGCCGTTGCTGCGTTCGCCATCGTTTCGCTCTACTCATCGTATCCAGTTGCTGCATATCCCATCGCTGGAGGCTGGTCTGTCGTCAAGGATGCATACAAAAACAAAGACGTGCTGGCGCTCGCCAGTTTCGCCGTTGAACAACATAACAGTGACAAGGTGCGACAAGTGATTTTTTTTGGTTTTGTTTTTTTAGTATGTTCATTCCTTCTCTATCCGCGCTATAGTCTTTCTCGTGTCGTCTAGTGGAAGGGTCCAAAGCATGCTTGTATGTAAGTACCAAGTTCAATAAATTCCAGCCCTCATTCTTTGAACACACTTCCCCCCCCCCTCTCTCTCTCTCTCTCTCTCTCTCTTCTCTCTCTCTCTCTCTCTCTCTCTCTCTCTCTCTCTCTCTCTCTCTCTCTCGCTCTCTCTCGCTCTCTCTCATTCTTTAAACTCTCTCTCTCTCTCTCTCTCTCTCTCTCTCTCTCTCTCTCTCTCTCTCTCTCTCTCTCTCTCTCTCTCTCTCTCTCTCTCTCTCTCTCTCTCTCTCTCTCTCTCTCTCTCTCTCTCTCTCTCTCTCTCTCTCTCTCTCTCTCTCTCTCTCTCTCTCTCTCTCGCGCGCGCGCGCGCGCTCTCTCTCATTCTTTAAACACACATCCTCTCTCTCTCTCTCTCTCTCTCTCTCTCTCTCTCTCTCTCTCTCTCTCTCTCTCTCTCTCTCTCTCTCTCTCTCGCGCGCGCGCGCGCACGCGCTTTCACAGACACAACTCATTCGCTTAGACCCACCCACGCCACACCCACACCCCCACCCGCACTGGCCCACCCTCCAAGCCGCTCTTTTCCAACTCGTCCGTTTCTGCCCTCCCTCCCTGCATCCCCACCACCGCCATGTTTGTCCCTCATCACCATGTTTTCTTTGCGGCAGAACACAAACCTCCAATTTGATTCCGTTACAGCTGCGTGGCGGCAAGTGGTGGCTGGCATGAAGTGGAAAATCGTTCTGCGTGCTGTTGACCCTGCGATTCCTACCAAGGGGCGAGCACCTACGAAATACGTGGCAGAGATTTGGGAAAAGTCATGGGAAGACTTTCGTCAGCTGCTATCTTTTAAGGAGGTGACACCCTCTCCAAGGCGCAACTCACATGATTAGAAGCCTCAGCTATGAAGCGGTGCTGTACAATGTGTCCATTCTCGTCTTTGAATAGAGGTTCATCTAGGAGGAGCAATGCTTTTGGGCATGTTCTTTTGTGAGGTTGATAATTTCTCAATTTTCCATGTAGTTGGTGTAAGAAGTGATTGAGAAAAAGCGAGTGTACTAAACACGAATTAGTACACTGTCTGGGATCCGAAATCTATTAGCCAGCCATAGCCACCCATCTTGGTGCTGTCGCGCTATCCCCGTCGTCCGAACCTTGCCCAAGTATGCGGCTTCTGCGCTCCACCACGTCCACCGCACACTCCCGCACCACCAATTGGGCCAAAATTCGCCTCGAGCAATCACATCTCAACTCTCCCAACGCAAGTGCGCGGACCCCCCCCTCAACTTCGCCATCCCTCCCTTCCCCTTTCCCTCCCCCCACAAAAACCACCAAGCCTGATTTGCGTATTTTCCCCCTCCCCCGCTCCCCGCCCTCAACAACGCCAACTTGATCCCATTGTGTGCCACGCGCACCAATCCGCGCCGCAACCGGAGCTCGTGGCGCGGCGCTTCATCCCTTACTTCAGGGCGCGCTCCTCCTAGCTGGACGTCTCTTAGCGCCTTCTCTATCTGCTGAAGTTGCTGCCGCGCACCGCAATAACTGCTCGTGACTGCTCAATTCGCCGCTTCGTCCCGACGTTCCCGCTTTCTTTCCCCGCACTCTTCCCCTGCCCCCTCATTCTCAGTCTCTCACTCGCTGCCTTACTCATTTATCCCCCCTCTTCAATCGCGTGCACGGGCGGTCGCCTTGTTCATCATCCCGCCGACACGTACGCATGGAGCCCGATGCTCTCGCCCATTCGTCGCACATCACTCAACCCGGCGACCCGTCACTAGAATCGCACAAGCACGTCGCACACGTCGCACACAGCCACCCTCACACCCATTGTCAGTCCAACGCGCCCGGCCACACCCATGGCAGCCTCGCGCAATCGACGCTCCCGTCGCTGCCGCACCGCCTGCACGCCCCGCACCTATCGCACGAGGAAGCTTCTCCTCCGCTTCCCCTGAAGGCGGGCCGCCTGTCGTCGCTGGGCCACGCCGCGTGCAGCTCGAGCTGCCTCGCCGACATGCGCGCCGCCTCTCCCCCGCGCGCCCGCGCGCACGGATCTTCCTCCGACGACGCGCTGCTGCGGCATTCCGCGGGGGCGGAGGAGGCGGACGGCGCGGAGGCGGGGGTACTGCGCGATGCGGAGGAGGGCGCGGAGGGAATGGTGGCGGTGGGGGATGGCGTGGTGGTGGACGTGGAGAGAGTGCTGCAGGCGCAGTACGACGCGTGGCTGGTAACGCGCAGGCGGCGGGGGTCGGCGGAAGAGGGACCGGGTGAAGTGGGAGGGAGGGACTGAGGGGTGAGGGATGAAAGGGATCGGAAAGGGGGGTACCTACCGCCAAATGTTGTTGCGCCAGCTAGAGCGTTTCGCGCCTACATACTCTCCTCTCCTCACAATGCTTTCGCTCCCCTCCTCACTCTCTCGTCCCGGCCCTCCCGGTTTCCCAACCCTCCCGTCCCTTCCACCCATTGTACTCCTCGCCGTGCATCCCTTTGTCACGTCACCCTCGCTGAACGCTACGCCTATCCCGCATTCACGCGTTCTCTTCCGCCCCGCTCTCCGCCACATAATCCCGCCTCCCCCCACACACCCCCCACTTCCCAACCCCTGCGCTCCTTCCCGCTCCGCCCACAGGAGAAGCACCCGTCGGCGGTGGCGCAGTTCTCGGCGGTGGCGCGCGAGATGGGCGCGCGGCAGGTGGCGCTGTTCCTGGACTACGACGGCACGCTCGCGCCCATCGTTGACAACCCCGACCGCGCCTTCATGCCGCCCGGGGTGGGCCGGGGGGGGAGGGGCGCAGGGGGAGGAGTGAGGGTGGGAGGGGGAGTTTGGGAGGAGTTTGAGGGCATGGATGTGCGACGGGAGGGGAGCGGAGTGTATGTTTTTCAAGGGGGAAGGGAAGGGAGGCGTTGGAGTGTGAGTAGCCTCGCCTGTGCTTTCCGTGTGGTGGCAAGGAGGGGGGTAGTCGAGGATACTGTTGCTGTGGCAGGGACGGTGCAGAGCGATGCAGTGAGGTCCAGACCAATGATGTTTGTGTGAGAGTGAGTCTTATGCACGCATATATGCCTGCATCTGTGCACGCGCGCGCATGCACTAGTGGCGCGCACAAGGCTCAAACCGCTCCTCCTTTCTCTCCCCCCGCTCACCCCCTCCCTGCGACCCTTCTTTTCCCCGTTCTTTCGTCCTTCTCTGGTTGCCCGTCCTGCATGGCACGGCGTGGGATGCAGATGAGAGAAGCGGTGCAGCAGGCAGCAGTGCACTTCCCCACAGCCATCATCAGCGGGCGCGGCAGGGAGAAGGTTTTGAGTTCGTTCAGCTGCCCGAGCTCTACTACGCGGGCAGCCACGGCATGGACATTATGCTGCCCGCTCACACGCCCTCCGCCTCCGCCCCTGCCTCTGCCTCTTCGCCCGATGCGCCTGGTGATGGACGGCAGGGAAATGGCGCGATGGGCGTGACTATAAAGGGCGACAGGTGCACAGATGCGCATGTGAGCGGACTGCCGTGGTGGGATGGGGGGCGAGGATGGGGCTTGGGAACGGGGCAGTGGTTATGCCTGGATGGGACGTGGGATGGCTGGGTGGGATGGCTCGGTGGTGTGGCTGGGTGGGATGGTGAGTGAGTGGTGTGGGTGGGTTCGCCGGGTGGGTGGAGGGGTAAGGGAAGGGGCGGATGTGTAGTAAGTGAGCATGATCTCTGGAGCACGCCCGAGGCATCGTTCAAGGTAGCTGCCTCGAAGCAATCTTCCTCACGCGCACTTTGTGGGAACCATCCCTTCTTGGGGTGCTGTCATCAACTCTCTCTTCCCCTCCTCTCTCTGCTGTGCGCCCATCCTCTGTTCTCTCGCCGCTCTGTCCCCTCGCCCCATGCCCACGCCATGCGGCACCAGAACCACGAGGTGGTGGTGTTCCAGCCTGCCAGCGAGTTCGCACAGCTCATGGATCAGGTGCGCCGCCTCTTCTACTCCACCTGCTGCTGCTGTAGCCCAGTATTCCTCTCTGATCCCACCTCTTCCTTGCTTCTTCTCTGTGTTCTACTCAACCCTGCAGCTTACTCACGACACGGCGTGTGCGTGAGTGCGTGCGTGCGTGCGTGCGTGCGTGCGTGCGTGCGTGCGTGCGTGCGTGCGTGTGTGTGTGTGTGTGTGTGTGTGTGTGTGTGTGTGGTGGTGGTGGTGGTGGTGGTGGTGGTGGTGGTGGTGGTGGTGGTGGAGCGGCGCATGGCAGGTGTACACGGAGCTGGTGCGCGTGACAGCAGGCGTGGCAGGGTCACTAGTGGAGAACAACAAGTTTGCTGTCACCGTGCACTTCAGACGTGTTGCGGAGGAGGTGCGTGCTGCTGCATTGCACCCTGCACCCAGGGGCCCATGCGCGGCATTGTGTGACATCGCATGGAGGGAGAGGGGAAAGTGGGGGTTGGGTCTGGGTGTATGGAGGGAGAGCGACTGGGAGAATGACACAGTGAGGAATGGAAGTAGTGTGAGGGAGAATAGGAAAGAGAGTTTTAGGACGAGCAAGATTGGTAAGCAAGGGGGTTGTCAGGGAAGGTGCTTTGTGATGACAGTGAAGGCAGCTAAACCAGGGGGACCTCAGAATGAATCATAATAAACTTCACTGTTGGTTCTTGCTTCTCCCCCGCTCCGCGTATTGCTGGCTCTTCCTCCTCCCCTCACGCCCTCACAGTGCTGGGAGCATCTGGCGGGCCTGGTGGAGCAGGTAGTGCAGCAGCACCCACGCCTGCGACTCTCACATGGCAGAAAGGTGACAAGCGGGAGGTCACACAAGTGACCAGGTGAAGGCACGGCATTTTCCTCCTTCATTCACTGTACCTTGCATGCACGTCTTCCTTGTGACGGCCATTCCTGCTCCCATTGTCTGAGTCGCATGTGTTTGATTCTCATGCTCATGTCTATGCCTATGCGCACGTGTGCCTGTGCGACGCACATGGCAGGTGTTTGAGGTGCGCCCAGTGGTGGACTGGGACAAGGGCAAGGCTGTGCAGTACCTGCTCACCACACTTGGTGCGATGCCACTGCCATGCCATGATTGCCCTGATATGTCACTCCAACCATGCTCTGTGAATGAACCAATACAGCATCCCCTATCCTGTCTACATCATCCTAGTGAGTCTATGCACATTTGCTACAGCGACGAGTATAATCTGTTATGTGCATACCTCGCTTTGCCGCATGCGTCATCAGCATCTTCTTGCACACTTTGCCCAGTTTTGCACAATCCTGTTCCACCCCTCCTTCCATTCTGGGTGGCATCTGCCAGGCCTCAACAACTCATCTGCAGTCGTGCCAGTGTACATTGGGGACGACAGGACAGACGAGGATGCATTTCAGGTAGAGCTGGGGGGAAAGGGAGGGAGCATACGCTGTTTCAATGGCGCATGCCCATTAATGAAAATATTCTAGTACTCATGCAGACCGTGCTTTGCTTCTCCCACCGACTGCTTAGGGCGTTTCATACGGCCAAACAGCGGTTAGGCTGTTTGTTGCAAAAGTACCAGAGTGGCGGCACTCTCCCATTTCCTCGCAAGTGCCAATAAGATGCCCGGCTGATTCACTCTTGCCGCTTAAAAACTCGATGGGAAAAAGAAAGCCAGCCAAAACCTTACCACTTTACGTTTTAACAACCCTTGTCATATTGTAGTAGTTGACATCCCTCGTTTTCAGAAAATGCGTGTGAAATGTGCAGTTGGAACATGTAGAATCGGGGGTAGTGGGGGCGTGACATATTCGGTATAACTTCATATCATTCGAAGAGTTACCCCACTTTCTCATGGTCATTCCAATAACTGCTCGTAACAATCCGACACCTTGTTTTCAGAACTTTGGTGAACATACTTTAGGCAATACCGCAGGTTGGCCAGCACGCTCGGCCAAACAGATGTGGCACGCCCTTATGTTTTTTTCCCTCATTCCTGTCTCGTTTTTGTGTTCTTATCAAGAGCAGATGCTTCAGGCAAGGGGTTCAGGCTTAGGCATCATTGTATCAGCGGCTGCAAAATCATCTGTGGCTTCTTATTCCTTACGAGACCCTTCTGAGGTACTTTTCTGGTTTATTTCTCCCACTATCCTCCTCTGCTTTCCTTTCTCCAATCGTTGTGGTTCAGTTGTATGCTTGTTGCCCCTCCAGTCGCATTCGCGTTTCATAGTACAATGACGAATCTAGCTACCACGCTGCATGGATGCATACATATCTCAGAGACTCACATTCGGTTAACGATCAATTGATGTGTTTCAGGTCCTGGATTTCCTCGTTAAACTAGTCCGTTGGAAGGAGCAAGGTGACTGTCTTAGATAATATGGACAGCCATGGTAGTTATTTTTTGGCCAGTGAACTTCTACAAATTACATGTTATTTGCTCTATTGCGGAAAACTCATACTGTATCTGCATCCATGCTCACTTGGTTATTGCGCAATACAAAAGGCTTATAATTTCCAGTGCTGCCGCTGTGGATGTACTCGCGGTGTGGGAAAAACCTCAGGGAGCACATGTCTCACCACCTCGAGCAAAGGTCAACAGAGCCAAATCGGAAGGAGTGTTGGCTGCCAGCAAGGCAAATATCATCATTTTTTGGACTGCGTGGCACATGCTGAAGAGGCAAGAGCAGCTGCAGATTTCCCAGAAATGGTGTCCAGCTAGGATCGTGCTGCCGACAACCAGCGTGGACCTTGGATTTTTGGATGACCTTGTCGGTGCCGCGGAATCCATTTTTTTGTGCACGCCGTTTGCCCATCTCAAGGGTCGCTTGCTTGGCTTCACAGAGTCTGTCCCCCGCCAAGCTCAGGGGTCGTCGCGTCACGTGACCATTGAATGTGGTGCGATGCGAACACCATGCTCTTGCCGCGAGTGCATCCTAACACAACCACCAAAATTGCCCCAGTACTAAACGCACGGTATTCGCTTGTTCCACCACCATTCCGAGTTGCATTCAGCTCAGGACCCTGAATTCCTGAGCTCTCTTCCTTTTGCAGTGACCAAACCAGGTCTCGGTAGTTTCGTCAGCTTCGCAACCTTACAGCGCGGCGTGTCTTGCTGCTGAAACTGCCTAAGCAATGGCCGTCTCTCGTCGTGCTTTTCAGGTACGTCTCGTAAGACTCGCTTCCTCGAAATATGGACTCAATGTTGGTCTCCAAAAAGCGGTATCTAAGCGTTGCTTTCCCTGAGCAGAAATTCTTCCTCAATGGCGCCTTGCGCCCACTTGTATCCCTCTCAAGCGCGTCTTCGACCATCAACCCGCCTGATGTGCCAATCGCAATCAAACAATCACCCACCACACCGCACTGTATGAACTATTCAACACACTCGAAGTTCGGAACGCGAGAGATGGTCAAGGCCAGGAATGTCGCTCCTGGAGTCGCGAGCAATCTTACTGGCGCCAAGCTGCCTTTTTTCACAGCACCTGTTCATACTGCGGCGGAAACCAAGCACGACATGTTCTGCTATCAATGCGAACAGACTCGGGTGGGTGTGAGATTGAACAGGGCAACCTTGCTGTTCAGTTTTAAGGATTACAGCGATCGTTAGTTAACTCGTACCATGTATGAACTTTCAGGATGGTAAGGGATGCATGACTGTGGGTGTCTGCGGCAAAGATCCTGAGGCCGCTGCTCTCCAAGACCTTCTTATTCACTCTTTGAAGGGTAAGGACGAGTTCTGCTGTCTATCCATATGGTCTGTCAAAGCTCTAAAGTACCTTTTATAATATCGGTTATATCCTCTGCAGGATTGGCCCAGTATGCCACTCGCGCGCGTGAGCTGGGACTTGAGATCGGTGCCGAGGTGGATTTGTAAGTTAAATATGTCGTTTTGATTCTACGTTTGTTCCCGTTAAGAAGCGCGTTTTTCATGAAGACGTTCCGCAATTGCAGTTTCGTGCAGGAAGCGGTTTTCTCAACCCTCACGAATGTGAACTTTGACTCTGCCGCACTTCAGCAATACGTCAAAGAGGCAATCCACCACCGCGATGCTCTCAGGTAATGTGGTTTACGGTGATCCATTTCACGGCATTGGTTTTACCCTTGCTTCAAGTAACGTAAATTCTCGGTAATGTATATGCAGGGCGAAGTATTTGGCTGCTGGTGGGAAAGAGGACGCTGCTTTGAAAACCCATCAAGCGACCTTCGAGCTTGGCCGATCACTCGACGACATTGTGGAACAGGGTCGCGGTGTAGGCGTCGAGACACGTCGTGCGGGATGGGATGAAGATATTTTCAGCCTGCAGGAGCTGCTGGTCTATGGCGTGAAGGGAACTGCTGCATACTCTGCTCACGCATATGCAGTAGGAAAGGTATGCTTCAAACCTCCGTTCCGTGTCAAGTTCCAGAAAATTTGCGTAATGCTCACTGCTTGTTTTTCTTGTCTCTGGATATACAGCGTGATACCAAGATTTCCGACTTCATTTACGAAGCTTTTGATTACATTTCACGACCAGCTGATCAGCAAACGGCTGAAGGTCTTCTTGGCCTTGCCCTCAAGTGTGGCGAGACCAACCTTCGTGCAATGGAGATTCTTAATGAGGGCCATTGCGAGAGCTTCGGCACCCCAGAGCCTACTGTCGTAAGTGAAGTTATGCTTCCTTATTTCTCGGAGCAGTACAAGCATTCTAACGACTAGAAATCTCCTTTCAGGTCCGGACATCTCCTGTCAAGGGAAAATGCATCCTAGTATCAGGTCATGACATCAAGGACCTTTACGAACTGCTAAAGGCAACCGAAGGAAAGGGCATAAATGTGTACACGCACGGCGAGCTGCTGCCTGCGCATGGCTATCCAGAGCTGAGGAAATTCAAGCACCTTATTGGCAACTATGGTGGCGCCTGGCAGCTGCAGAAGATTGAGTTTGCTGCTTTCCCTGGTCCGATCCTGGTCACTACAAACTGTCTCTTGGAGCCGAAGCCCAGCTATGCGAATCGCATCTACTCTGCAAATGCTGCTGGGTGAGGACCTTTTAAACTTATATGTTTCATTCGGTGCCCAATTCAAGAAAACTTGCTAATCGTGAATGTCTTCCTCTTTCAGGCACAAAAAGGTCCAGCACATTGATGGTCGACGGTTCGACCCCATCATCAAGCAGGCACTAGAGATGGAAGGGTTTGTTGCTGACGCACCTGAACGCACGGTTATGACAGGTTTTGGCCATGCTGCCGTCCTGAAAGCTGCTGATGTCGTCATTGATGGTATCAAAGATGGACGCATCAGCCACCTTTTCTTGATTGGTGGTTGTGATGGATGGGAAGGCGAGCGCTCTTACTTCCGTGATCTTGCACTTTCTTTGCCGCAGGTAAGGATGGTAGTGCCGGGTTTTCATAATCAGTCAGTGGCGATTTTCTGACTTTTTATTTCTCATGCAGGATGCTGTGGTTCTGACTCTAGCCTGTGGAAAGTACCGCTTCAACCATCAGCAGCAGCAGTTTGGGAACATCACTGGTACCCAAATCCCTAGGCTGATGGACGTTGGCCAGTGCAACGATGCGTATTCGGCCATCCGCATTGCTTCTGCATTGGCCCAGGCATTCAACACTGATGTCAACAGTCTCCCGCTCTCCTTGGTCATCTCCTGGTTTGAGCAGAAGGCTGTAGCTGTAAGTTTCTCTGCAAGGGTGTTCTCTTCCAACCAAAACATCTGCTCAGATGCACGAACATCCTTTCCCTGACTATCTGCATTGCGTGTCTGTTTGCAGGTACTGCTTACCCTTCTTCATCTGAACATTCAAAACATCCGCATTGGTCCCAAGCTTCCTGCATTTGTAACTCCAAACGTGCTCCAGATTCTTGTTGACAAGTACAAGCTCACGCCTATTGGAGGGCCGGAGAGCGTGCAGCATGAAATGAAGGAAATGCTATCATAAGCAGATGATGTTTTGATGTATGTTATTCTCATAAGTTCTGATGTCTGTCAATTTTATGAACACATCGACACTACCAGCTTTTCTTGGAGATTTGTAAGCAGAAAAGATGTGTGCAGTCTGCTTTTACATAACATCAGCAGAAAGTGAATGCTAGCAACAGATCGTACGGTATGTGCTTAGAAAGACTGATACCAGAACTTACCGCCAAGTTATTTCCTATAATGCGTGTTATTGCCTTGAGTGTGACTTGTGTCAGGGATTGTAGACTATATCGGCTTGTTAATCCCCTATTTCCATTTTTTTTGTGATACAGCGCTGTACCGTCCTAGTCTAGAAACTTATTTGGCCTTTCAGTTGGGTTGCAATGGTCCGGCACAGACTAATTGTTTTTTTTGTTTGACATGCAACGCATCGAACATCCTAGAACGTACAACCAATATCGCGTATGGATAGAAAGAGGAAAAGGGAAAGAGGGAGAAGGAAAAGGGAAAGAAAGACACCAGAAACAACTCAAACGCAACACCCATAAAAAGCCCCATAAAAATACTCCATAAAGAAAAAACCCAACCAGGATCCCCTACCAGACGTCCCATCTAGCACCCCATTCCCCCTCCCCCCCCCCCCCCCCCCCCTCCCCCCCCCCCCCCCCCCCCCCCCTCCCCCTTCCCCCCCCAAGTCACATCTGCACATCCACCATGTAGGGGGCCTCCACCCAATTGTTTTTTTTTGCGTGTTACGTACCCCTTAATTTCGGAATAACAACGTCCTCTGGTGGTTTGCTCTTTTGTCACGACAGTAGCTGTCACGACAGAGTAATTGTGATGCGATATGGTGTGATTCGGTGATTCCGTTCACTTCGGTTCATCATATATCATCCAGGTCAGGTTGCGTATCTTCTTTCTGTGATCACTTTCGTCATTGTGGAAAATGGTATACATTTGAAACCGCTTTTCATCGTGTGGAATTGTTCTGGGCGACGAAGCATGAACTGTAGGTGTGCGACCAATTCCACTTTGGGGGGGAGGCTGGTGGGCTGGGCATATGTCGGGTTTGTTTCGCTTCGCCTGTCTCCTCACATTTGCCAACAGCGGTGTGATCGGTTTAGCCCTTCAGCACAGAAAGAGGCATTGGCTCAAACCACCAACGAAGAAGCAATCTTTACGCGTGTGGCGCATGCGCTGTCCGCCAGCAACGCATATCTGGGTCGGGACACCATGCCAACACATCTTCCTTTGCTGCACCGCATCACGTCATGCCTTGAGGGCAGATGCTAACGTGGGCGGGGGTAGACGCGGGGAGCCAACAAGTGTGCGTGGGGAGCATACATTTGGTTTGGAAAAGCAAATGTACACGTAGATACACACGCAAATCAGGAGGATATTTATCGAATCTGTAGGCACGATCGCTTCCCTAATGTCGGTGCAGTGAGGTGGAAGTTGCAACGTGTTGTCCAGCAGCAGGTCGTCGTTTCGATCAAGCAAGGGACAAACACCTCCTTCCCTTGACCCCTGACTGACTATGGGGGACCAGTTGACGTGTCACATGTACCACTGTTTAACGTACCTAACCGTTCTGTTTAACATCCACCATTCATCATGTCTGGTTTTGCCTTGTCCCAGGCGAAGCATTGAGCGGTTCGGCAGTACAAATTCTTGCTTATCTACATTTGGCACATCACGAAAACTTCGAGCCCCTCATATGTTACTTGCTGCTCTTCTGCATCATACAATACACGCCATACCTTCCAGCCGTTTCCTGCAGCACAAGAATATGGCGTGTGCCCATCGCCTCGGTCAGGTGCGTGATGGACGTAAATTTTCTCCTCTCCATACGCAACCGCAATGGTAATCTATGCCAAAAGGCTGAGCAACATTGTCTGCCCCAAACAGGTCGTATGCAGGGCTAGTGACTTCTACGCAAAAAATCTGGTGTCGCCGTTTCCTAACGTTAAACGCGCGGTTTCAAATGGACGAAGACGTGTACGACGCGTGGTAGCTCAAGCAAGCAACAGCGGCTCCAAGCCCCGAAGCGGAGTTAAGGCTAATGCAGCTATGCCAGCGATGGAGACTCGCACGTCGCCCGACCAACACAACATGTTCTGCTTCCAATGCGAGCAAACCAAGGTATGGCTACCTGCCACAAGAGACAAAAGCGTAAATCAAGCCAAAAGTCATACACCATAAATTACATGTGGAAGACGAAGTTGAAGCGGAGGAATGTGCTCAGAACTTTGAACAATGGTGCTCTGTTCTGGATCTGTCACAGGATGGCAAGGGTTGCATGTCCGTCGGTGTGTGTGGCAAGGACCCTGAAACAGCTGCTCTGCAAGACCTTCTCATTCATGCATTGAAAGGTGAGAACCCTGATGGATGGTGCAATTCTTCGGAAGCCTTCAGAATGACTAGGTTACAAACGTGAGCCTGCTGTTCTAAGCATCACTCAGTGTGGCGGAGGTGTCTAATATCTTCTTTGTGGCGTCCGCTGTCTCGTGTCAGGAGTGGCGCGTTTCGCCGTGCGGATTCGCGCTTTGGGGCAGCCGGTTGGCGCCGACATTGACTTGTAAGTTTCATCCTCTCATTGGGCACGGATTCTGCCAAACGTGCCGCTGGTGCGCGCACGCCTTCTCCTCCACTAGCCATGTTCACAGTCAGCTGTCATAATCATCATACTGACAAGGGCCTTGCGCTGTTGTTCCCTTGCCTGCAGCTTCGTGCAGGACGCCATCTTCGCGACTCTCACCAACGTCAATTTCGACGCAGAAGCCATTCAGAGATACATTATGGAGACAGTCCGCCTCCGTGACGATCTCAGGTAACGTCATCGCCGCCTGCGCTCCAACCACTGGTTTACTCTGAATCTTTCCCTCGAGGCCTCCCTTTGCACTTCACGTCTCCTCCCACGCGGGTCTCGATGTTATGACATTGCAATTCCATCTCTGTGCGCAACGCTCTTCTGTTATGAGCCCAAGGAACCCAAACTCGTACTTGTCTTCCCCGTGCGTTTCCCTTTCGCTCCACGAACAGGACCAAGCTGGCCGAAGCAGGCGGCGACCTGTCGGACCCCGCGCTGGCGTCGCACGAGGCCACGTTTCAGCCTTCACTGGCGCTGCCGGACCTGGTGGAGCAGGGCCATGCGGTGGGCGTGGAGGCGAGGGCAGTGGGGTGGGACAAGGACATCTTCAGCCTGCAAGAGCTGCTCACGTACGGCGTCAAGGGCACTGCGGCCTACTCCGCGCACGCCTTCGCGGTCGGACAGGTGCAGCATCATCGCCTTATGAGCTCCTCAAGTCTGCGTGGCTTCGACGGGTCGATGAAGCGCGCTAGCACGATTTTTTCGCTGAACTTCCTCGTCTCGCTTAATCTCCCCGTTTCACGCGAGCCGTTCACATCGCTACGCGCTAACCCGTCCAATTTGACGTTCACCGCATTCTCGTCCCCACCCCTCACAGCGCGACACGCTGATTGCGGACTTCATCTACGAGGCCTTCGACTACATCTCGCGGCCGGCGAGCGAGCAAACGGCAGATGCGCTGCTGGCGATGTGCTTGAAGTGCGGCGAGGTGAATTTGCGCGCCATGGAGATCCTCAACACCGGTCACAAGAGCAGCTTCGGCACACCCGAGCCGTCGGTGGTGCGCACGTCGGCCGTGGCGGGCAAGTGCATCCTGGTGTCGGGGCACGACATCAAGGACCTGTACGAGCTGCTCAAGGCCACGGAGGGCACGGGGGTCAACGTGTACACGCACGGCGAGCTGCTGCCCGCGCACGGCTACCCCGAGCTCAAGCGGTTCAAGCACCTGATTGGGAACTATGGTGGCGCGTGGCAACTGCAGAAGCTGGAGTTCGCAATGTTCCCGGGGCCCATCGTGGTGACCACCAACTGCCTGCTGGAGCCCAAGCCCAGCTACGCCGACCGCATCTACGCGCTCAATGCCGTGGGGTGAGTCACGGCCGCACGCCTGCTGCCAGTGCCCGCGCACGCACCGTTGTGCGCCACATCGTATGCAGATGCAATTTTGTGTTGCCCTACGAATGGACCTGCTCTTGACGCGCTGCAGCACGATTCACCTTTTGCTCAAAGGCACGCTCGTCCCCATCCGCCCCCACCCCAGGCACAAGAAGGTGCAGCATGTGGAGGAGTGGCGGTTTGAGCCCATCATCCAGCAGGCGCTGGCCATGGAGGGCTTCACGCACGACGAGCCGATGCGCAGCACCATGACAGGGTTCGGGCACGACGCAGTGCTGCAGGCCGCGGGTATCGTGGTGGACGGCATCAAGGACGGCCGCATCAACCACATCTTCCTCATCGGCGGCTGTGACGGGCTAGAAGGCGAGCGTTCCTACTACAAGAACCTGGCGCTGTCACTGCCGCAGGTAAGCCTCGCAGTGTTTTCACTTCCCTCCCCTTGAAACATGGGCCGCAACTGTGGGATATGGTGACGAACCGTCTAAGCTTGTTCTCGTGCATCTTACCTCGCAGGACACTGTGGTGTTGACGCTTGGGTGTGGCAAGTATCGGTTCATCCACCAGCAACAGCAGTTTGGCAACATCACAGGCACAGAGATCCCTCGCCTGCTGGACGTGGGCCAGTGCAACGATGCGTACTCCGCCATCCGCATCGCTTCTGCGTTGGCCGAGGCATTCGAGACCGACGTGAACAGTCTGCCCCTCTCGCTGGTCATCTCGTGGTTTGAGCAGAAGGCTGTAGCGGTAAGTCACTTGTGAGGCTTTCGTTATACTTGATGTGGGCCCTGCTGATGCCAAACAAGCACAAGGATGGATGCGATGCCAATCTAATCTGCCTCTTTCCTTGCATGTGCAGGTCCTCCTCACTCTTCTTCATCTGGGCATCAAGAACATCCGCATTGGCCCATCATTGCCAGCCTTCGTGTCACCTAATGTGCTTCAGATCCTAGTGGACAACTATAACCTCATGCCTATTGGGGGTCCTGAGGACGTTCCCAAGGACATGCAGGCTATGCTAGGAAATGCCTAGACCATCAAGGTTGTGGCTCTGTAACCTGTTGGAACTTTGTAAGCTGTAGTGCAATATAGTCAGGGTTTTGCTTTCTAAGGCATGTTAAGAGAAAGGCATGTTTGGTGTGCCATGAGCTTTACCACACTACACACAAAGTATTACTATGCTTCCGTATGTAGGCAGGGACGCATATACAACACAGCACATGTTCAACCTTCTACCTACTAGAAGCTGCCAAAACCACTCCTGTTGTGGCCATGCTGATAATCTTCCTCCTCAATGTCCTCTAGCACTTTCTCTTTCCCCCTTGTGCTCACTTCTTGTTGATTGTGCTGCCCCCCTCGCTTGTCAGGCTTTCTCATCAAGCTTCTGTGCTACAAATCCACCACTCCAGTCAATATATTAGATTCCATAAGGCTGAAGCTCATCTGAAGCTTCTGTGCTACAAATCCACCACAGAGCCTGGCATTGCGAATACAAGTCATCTGTCAGGACTTGATCATGCACACCTGCTGAAACTATGCTCGCATTCAATGGTGCAGATAGGAAGGACATAGCCCATAGACAAGCGAGGTTCTGCTCCCATTCCTTGGAGTGCAGTGCAACATTTCGGTAAGACCTGCTATGCTATCCATTGCAGTCAGGGCCCAAGTTTATTAGAGTAGATTGTAAAGGACAAAGTGAACGAACTCAGAAGGGCATACAAGCGGCAACATCCCATACCCTCTATTGTGTAACCCAACCTACCGTAGCCTACAAAGTACTCCAGACAGATACACACCTAGTGTATACTTCGACACATCCTAAGAAAGAGCTTAGTGCAGCACGAGTAGTCTAACCTCTGAGACAAGGGGGCCACAAGGCTAGTAAACAAGAACACAGTGTATGAGGTACAACTCAGAGCATTTCTTAGGCAAGCGTGTCAGAATCCCAGCCACTAACCACTGGGATAAAAGGGCTTGTTTGTGTAGCGGGTGAGTGCACCCATAACCCCCCAGGCCGACATGCCTGTAACCCTTCCCTAGGATCAATCGGGGATCTCCAGTGGACCTCTGACCCCCCCCCCCCCCCCCCCCCCCCCCCCCCCCCGCACTGGGATGCCCGAGAGAGATTCTGCCGAGCCAGCAGCCGCCCCTCCTCCTCTCTCTCTCTCACTGCTGCGTGCGCCGCTGTGGGGGGGAGGGTGAGGGGGTGGCGGAAGTCAGCTAGGCATCTGCAGCTGCCGCTCGTTGCTATCGTGACATCGCTCTGATACCATGTCAGAATCCCAGCCACTAACCATTGGCCGACATGCCTGTAACCCTTCCCTAGGATCAATCGGGGATCTCCAGTGGACCTCTGACAAAGCGTACAAGCCCAGGCTCATATGCGAGGCCAGTAATTGAGTATAACTAAACAAGATCAAACTCAGTATAGTGGACGAAGATTAAGAAGCTGACAAGTCCAAGTGGTTTACACAGATGGTGTGATCTACAAGGAGGGAGCGCATTGAGGCCAAGTACAGTATGCATGTCTTGTCTCAGAATTTGCAAGCGGAATGATGATTCACTAGCGAGAGATTGGTAAAACTATAGAAGAGTTACGGTATATTCTATAATATGTCACTCACTGCGGCCTAACAAAACTTAACAATTATAGCAATATAACTTCACACACCCCCACAGGCTAAATGAGGGACATCAAAATGAGCAAGAGAAACAAAAGGTCACAAGACCAGTGAGCAACAACAGTGAAGCAAGATATGCAGCTCAAGGTGGCACAACTAGTCCAGCCTCTGAGTCAAATGGCCAACAAGGCTAGTCCAAGGGTATAGATATTTATAGCAATACAAATATTGTTATGAATGAGAGGCTTAAAGTTAACGAGGGCCTATCTAAACAAGATCAAGGTGCGAACAAAACAGATGCTAGTCACCAGGCGAAAGGGCCTTGATGTAGATGTTGTCAGAATATAATGCTTGTCTAGTCTGTAGTGGGGTACTCAATAGTGAGTAAACCCTTTTAGGGCTTGCTATTTGTACCTCCCTTCTTTCTAGTCAAACCCTCCTTTTGCCTAACTCTCCTTTTGCCTAACTCTCCTTTGCCTAATTCTCTCTTGCCTAGCTAGGTAAACCCTAGCTATGGCTCCTTGTTCTAGCTTCTATCTCAATAGATGTGTGCTGTGTTGGCCTCCGAGGCCGCAAAACCAGGCATGCCTGGCCACATGGCTGTAACTCTCATAGCAGAAGGTACCATATATGGATGTGCATCACTTTGCTCTCCAGTCTAGGCTCCCGACACAGAAGGATCATGGCCTTGTTGTCAGCCAACAAGGTCGGTAGAGAGCAAAGGCCGCGCACCTAGGTCAGTGAGCAAGAATGCCAGCCAGTGAAGCTCTTGAGTTGGCACCCGCATGCATCTCGGCCTCAGGCTCGACTGCACCACAGACAATGATTGAGCCGCAACACGCCAAGCTAGGACGCTGTGAGGATAAGTAAGGAACGGATGATTACATGTCATCAGGTACATCAGGCAACCCACAAGCTCTATGTAAGGACCACAGGAATTGAAAGACTCATTGGGAAGAGGAGCAATGAGTTTGTGGTCGACAGGAAGAGGAGTGGGCTATATTGGTTTGTGACTGAATGAGAGTGAAGGTGCGAGAGGCTCTGTCCTAGGTGATCTGCAAGCCAATATAGCTGTGCAGTTTACCAGGTCAATGCACGTGCGTCTTTTCTACAGTTTGAATTTCACTGAAGCTAGGGCAACCCTGTCTGTTGTGGCAAAAACCAAGTCGTCAATGTAGACAAGGACAAATAAATGAGTGGGGCCAGAATAAACGAATTGTGATGGGTTATCCGTCGAATGAGGGAACCTGAGGTCAACAAGAGCGGAGCGAAGAGTGTCGTGCCACTCATAAGGCGCTTGGCGAACATTGTAGACTGCTCGTCTCGGGCTCCACTAGGTCACAAGTGGGAAAGTGCCAATCAGGCCAGGAGGACGGTGCAGCCAGATATCCCTTGTGCATGCTGCCTTGCATGAAGGCAGTGGAGAAGTCTCGTACGTACAGCTCATAGTCTCGTTTTGTTGCAATACATAGTAGCACCTGAAAGAGTTGTCATCTTCAGGGTGAAGGAGAATGTTTGAAAAAAGTATACTCCACCACGCTGATTGAAGCCTTTCGCCACGTAGTGCGCCTCAAAGACAGGCGACGATCCAGGCTGTCGCTTCACCTTCACGACCCACATGCTATCGGCTACGCTCGCCCTAGGAGGGGGAACTTCGTCGATGTATATGCTTGTCGACCTCCAAGAAACCATCTTTGCGTCCAGGGCTGCTATCCGCTAAATGGCCACGGTCCCGGCATTACATCACCATAATTGCGAGGAGTCGAAAAGTTTGGAGCGTTAGGGTCTCACTCATGGGCAAGCAGCATGGCATAGAGATCGGGAAAAACAGCTGCCAGGAGCACTAGCTCAAACTGCCTCTCCTCTAGGACATCACAGCCAAGGAAAAAATTACCCCTGGTGGACAGAGGATGGGTACGAGGAGCAGCCACCAAGCGGGTGGTATAGTCTAGGCAGCACCTGGTGGCAAAGTTAGTGACTGCGGCAACTAGAGCCGAGACATACAATGGAGAGGCAGTAGGGTCAATGACTATAGAGGAAAAAACACAGACACAACAGGCAGAGCTGTACGATAGTCCTCTGTTAGGTTCATTGAGGAGACTGAGAGAGTTAACGAGGGAGGCAATGGGAGGACGATCGGACGTGGGGAACGAGGAGGGGTAAGCCACCAGAAAACATACCGAAGGTCCCAACCGGAAGACGAGTGACTGAGGAGGAGACCGAGCAATAGCCAAGTCCGGAGGAGGAAACATAGGACTGTGAGGAGGAGGAAATAGTCAGCAGTCAGGAGGAGAGGAGAGTGGGCAAAGGGTTCAAAGACCACTCGCAGGTGGCCACGACCGCTGTGGTAGCGGCTGCTGCAACGTTGGCGACAGCGATTGCGGTGGCTGCTAGTGATGCTATTGCCCTTGCTGCTCCTGCTGCTCCAGATGCCGTAGACGTTGAAACCTCATCAGGTAGTGGTGACCAAACGAAGCAGGCATTGTAAGACAATTGTCTCCAGCTCCTCCACCCTGGAGCTAATACCTCCAACTCCACCTCCAGCTCCAACACCCCCAGAACCAGCATCTCCATCTCTAGTACTGCCACCTCTACCACCTCCATCTCTAGCATCCTCAGCACCAGCACCTCCAACTCCAGCAGCAGCAGCTCCAACACCCCCAGCACCAACACCAGCACCTTCAATAAAAAAAGAAACCCTGACACCAGCTCCCTCTAAATGAGCACTTCCAACACCAACACCTCCAGTAGCAACACCGCAAGAGTCCATTGCGATCTGCCGCTGTAGTAGCAAAGGCCGATGTGGTGACTGTGAAGATGAGTATGATGAGGGCGATGACACTGGACATGCTTTAAAAAAAGGGGGGGTAGCGTGAGACACACTTGACGGGGTAGGACCTGGGTGGGGTGGGCAAAACAGAGGAGTAGGACAAGGATGTTAGGGTGGGAGCTAGGTTGAGGGGAGGGAGGGGAACCAGGAAAAACCTTGGTAGGGGCAACGAACGTAGCGGGGCACGGACTCGTCAAAGGTGACGTCACGTGAGTCAAAGAACCGGCGGAGGGATGGGTGGTAAAAGACAAAGTTGGGGCTTTGACATGAATTCCAAGATAAACACTGTGGAGGGTGCAAGTCGAGAGCTTGTCCGCAGCGGTATCACGAAGATGCGCAAGACAACTACAGACATGAAACTCTTATGCAACACTGGGCAAGACATACGCGTCCAAAGGTCAGCTGGTGGGAGGCATAGTGAACTGCGTAGGGCCACAAAAAAATGGGGCACGTGGACATGGGACATGGAGATGCGGGCGATTTCCATGACCAAGCCTATGCAGCGATCAGCAACCTCATTCGGTTGTGGTGACTCAGGAAGCATCCAATTTTGGGTGATGTCTTGCCCGTGATAGAACCCAG